TTTAAAATTAAGGTTCCTTTCTAAAATTGAAGTTTCCTTTTAAAATTTCTTTGTAAACTTAATGTTTCTTTTTACTTTTCTTTATTTTAGTAAAGTTTCTTTTTTAAAATTAAGGTTTCTTATTAAAATTAAGATTCCTTATGAAAATTAAGGTTCTTTTTTAAAATTAAGGCTTCTTTTTATAATTAAGGAGGGGGGTCAAGCAATTTGTGACAACCTGTAGAAAAAATATCGCCTATGTGACAAGGGGAAAGGGGGGGGGGGGGGGGTCGAAAATATTAAAAAATAATGAAAAATAATGAAAATATTAAAAAATAATGTATAAAATTAAGATTATAAATTTGTCTCTTTTAAAATTGTAAATTTGTGCTTAAAATTTGTCTTATACAGAGAAGAACAAGCACGACTTCTTGAAAATGCAATTCTCTGCATTAAAATGAGAAGTTTTTATTAACATACAATAAGACACTTTTGTCTCTCTTTCTCCTTTTAAAAGAAAGTGATTTCTCTCGACGTTCTTCGTCGCACCTATAACGAGGACACCGGATACACCATTTCCGTTTTCCATCATCTCTCTCTCTGTCTCTTGTTCAACATTCAATGTTTACGTCCAATAAGGAAATAATACGAGAATAAAATATCTATATTCAAACACATCAGATATTTATTAATAATAAATATGAAATTGCGGAAGTCCCAACCCACATGACGTGATGTGATTACAAACACATCGCGACTATTCGATTATATTATTTTTCTTTTAGTTTTCGTTTTAATTTTAAGGTTGTTTTTTTCACTTCCTTTAAAGCTAAAAAAAATTTTAAATTTAAAAATATAACGTAGAATTTTTAAAAACCGGAAACGAACGAAAGTATGTAGAACAGAAAAGGATAGAAATATCAACTGTCCTTTTCTGACTTATTCGATCGGTTTTTTGTCTTATTTTCCTTAGACATTAACTAATTTATTTTCAGTTGACATTTCTTTTTTTAAATGTCACAAATTTAAATAGTTTTTACATATAAGTCGAAACGAATCTACAAAGAAACCTACTTCCCACCTTATAAATAATACACATAGAAAGGCTGGAATGTAAGTCCGGGACAGGATTTTCATTCAAATCTACCTTGCACTTTCCCCTTTAAGACACCAATTATTATAATATTATCCTGAAAATAAGCTCAAAACGAAAAATTACTGTAATAGAAATTTCCTAGCCACTTTGCAATTTTGATTTTAAAAAAAATTATTTTAAAAGCTTTACTAAAAGAAATTCTATTTTTAAAAAATTGAAAATTGTGACTTTTCAAGTGTACATATATTGATTGCATGAACGCGGTCAAAAGAGAGTAGCGCGTGAAATATTTAACCCGGAAATTGCCGAGAGAGAGACAACGTTTCTGTATGAGTGATACAATATCGTTTCAGGCGAAAGTTTTCTGAAGTGTATTCCAAAAAATTGTTTACATAACTTGATTTTTTCTTCTTTTTGAAATATCGCCTCTTTCTAAATTTTACCCGTTTTCTAAATGAAACGAACCTAACCTAAAAATTTTACCACATTAGTCGAAGTCATTTAAACGCGAATTTGCCCGATTAGTCGAAACCAGAATTTAAAGAAGTAGACGAAGAAGAAAAAGTGCAAAATTGACGACAGTTTCCAAAACTAAATGTCAATTTCAACGCCGCATTTACTGCAAGGTGTTTTTTTTAGAATCTGAGCTAATTAAAAAAAATCAATCCAACCAGAATCACAGATTCCTACCGTTTTTTTTACCCAATAAGAGAATCTTGGGAGATTTTACGTTCACTATTTATCAATTTTTTTCTTCTCCTTTTCATTCCAACTTTCTATAAATATATGTATATTCTCGTGCAATTGCTAATTGGCAAAGATCGAGAATGTCGATGGATTAGTTTGTTCCGGTCGTGAGCACAGATTTGCGTTAATAGGGCATGCACGACCTTCGACTCTCTATAATACTCTCCCCCGTCTGCATTTATAATAATCCTCGTCGCAAATGCACAGAAATTGTGAATGACGACGATCGTATTCCTATGGTTTGTCATGTCGTTTATTTTATTGCCCGAGTATACAAAATATACTAAATTGGAATATTTATTCTGATTTCGTAAAAAAGAAACTAACCTCGCTCGTTCTCGTCAAACTAAATTTATTACCACTGCGTAATCGTGGAGAATTTTTTTTCAGTATTTTTCAATAAATCTTCCATTATAATATGTTTTACGGGGAAAAAATACTTGTAATTATTAAATTAGTTAGTAAAGTTAAAAACACCTGTGATTTATTCTCTCTAATCCTAATGATTCATTATTTATTTACTGCAATCATCATTATTGACGGCTTAAGCTTCATATCGTTTTTATTATTTATTGTAACTTTTATTTAAGAGAGGATTATAGTATATAATATATATATAGTATATATTATATATATTATCTATCAATATTTATCAATATCTATCAATATTTATCAATATCTATCAATATTTATCAATATCTATCAATATTTTGTCACTATTTTTTTTAGAAATCGAAGGGAGAATATTATCTGTAGCTTATACAAATTCAGTCAGTTTCATTTCTGACCATTGAACCGGTTCGATTAAGTTTATTAATTAGCTCAGATTTAAAAAAGAACCCCTTGCAAAAAATGTAACTTTAAAAATGACTTAATTTTTTTTCTCTCATTGGTTCAAAATTCAAAACTGACATAATTTTTATTAGGAAATTAGCTCAGGTTCTAAAAAAAAACCCTTTGCAAAAAATGCAACGTTGAAATTAACGTTTAGTTTTGGTTCCAAATTGTCATCAATTTTATAGAATATGAAAAAAATTATCAATCCTCCAAGTTTAGTGAAACCTACTTTCTCGGGTAGATTTTTAAACTTTTCTTCTCAACATCCGAGGTCAGAAAAAATTGCAATCGTTTATAATCTAACTGATAGAGCCATAATACTTTCTAACTATGTTTTTCATCAGAAGAATTTAAATATTATAAAAGAATTACTTCTACAGAATAGTTATCCCATTATCTTCATTAACACACATATAAATAAACGTATTCATTTTGTCAATTCAAACTAAGATCGATCAGACTCAGAATCCATCTATCATCGATTAAAAAAGATTTGCCTACCCTATTTGTCTAATTGTATTTTGTCGATAATTGACTTGTTTGTTTTATTTTTTTTTCTTTTTTTTTCTTTCGTTTTTTTTATCATACCAACCCCACATAACCTTGGAGTGCGGAATCCAAGGTATCTGTAGGCAGATTTCCCAAAAGTCCCTAAGCAAAAAAAAAAAAAAAAAAAAGGTATTAGCTCAGATTAAAAAAGAAACCCTTGCAATTAATGCGACGTTGAACTTGACGTTTAGTTTTGTCTCCCATTCCTTCAAAACTGTCATCAATTTTTTTTAGATATTAGCTCAGATTAAAAAAGAAACCCTCAGATTCTAAAAAAACCCTTTGCAAAAACTGCAACGTTGATATTGATGTTTGTTCTGGTTCAAAACTGTCATCAAATTTGTTAAGGTATTAGCTCAGATTCTAAAAAAAACACCTTGCAAAAACTGCAACGTTGATATTCACGTTTGTTCTGGTTCAAAACTGTCATCAAATTTGTTAAGGTATTAGCTCAGATTCTAAAAAAAACACCTTGCAATAACTGCAACGTTGAAATTGACGTTTAGCTTTGGTTCAAAACTGTCATCAATTTTATGAAGGAATTAGCTCAGATTCTAAAAAAAACACCTTGCAAAAACTGCAACGTTGATATTGACGTTTAGTTCTGTCTCCCATTGGGTCAAAACTGTCATCAATTTTATTAAGGTATCAGCTCAGATTCTAAAAAAAACCCTTTGCAAAAACTGCAACGTTGATATTGACATGATGTAAAACTGACATCAATTTCTGTCCATAGATCCGATTTCCTTAATAACTTCTGCAATAGAAAACAATTTAATTTTAATTAGAAAAAGTATTGAAACAGAAAAGTAAAGTTAAAGATAACTGTACAAGTGTGTTATTTGGGGATAAAAAGAAATGATGAGGGTGTAAAGAAATCAACCTAAAAGAAATTATCCTAAAAGAATGAAGTCTCTTTGTTGACAACACCTGTTGCGATATTGATACAACAGGCTTTACCATCGACCCTGATATCTTCGTCTCGCCCTGGCTACTTTCACCTGGATCTCCTCCGATGGTTACATCCGTATACCTGGGAGAACTGTGCCCCATTTACGATTATAATTACCGCTCTCGCAATTTTTTTATAAACGGAAATTTTTTATTTCAATTTTGCAAAGCAATTTTAGAAAACTTTTCGTATAATTTTACTTTTCTTAAAATTTATTTTAAGAAAAGTCCTCCTAAGATAAAATGTTATATTCCACTTGTATCTTTTTTTATCCTTAGGAGTGTATTAATACTTTTTTTCGAATCACTTTCTAGATGTGGAATTTTTTTTTACCGCTTTCGCACACACACGCACACACTGGGAATAAGCAAGTGAAATGAAAACTGGAAAAGCGTTTCGTGACTGGAGAGAAAAGAAAACTTTCGTGCGTAATACCCATAAATCTCTCGTGATGTCTTGTCTATATACATACATGCTTACCGTACACGTCTTTTTCTCGCTATAGTAAAGTCACTTTCTTTACAAATTAAATCTCTGTATCTTATCGATAAGATTCACGAGAAGATAGTCAAGGAGATACAAGGACGATATGGCAACTTTAACATCATGCAAGAGATACAATCGCTACTCGTTCTCCTTTTATCTTATTCGAGAAACTAGTTCAGGGAAAACTTATTTTCAAGCAATGTGGAATTTTAGAAAAAAAACACCTCTAGGCTAAATTTTTTTATTAAATTAATCCCTTATGATGCCTACTCATGTGACCGCTATCGTCTATTTAATACTAAAATTAATTTCTTTTTGTATTTTTAAATTTGTCTTTACTTACTCTGTCCTTAGAGGTATGTCGACTGCACGGTTTTGGGAAGCGGAAGTGGGGCCGATGCGGAGGACTCGTCATATGACAGCGATTATGAGGCCGAGGACTCATTGGGTTCGTCCTCCGTTCATCCACAATTGGAATCACAAGTCTCGTCCTCGACCCATTCTGATGTCTCGCGAACAACCTCCGACACTTTGGCGGCCGAATTCGCCGAATATGTCACGGTCCAGGGTCCATCTCCCACCCAGACTCCAGGTACTTTAAAAAACTGAAACAAAACGAAATATTAAATAACTACATCTTCGTATACTTTTTTTTCTATTTTTGCATCTTCGACACGAAAATTGACATTATCCAATAAGCATATCAAATAATTTTTCCCTTCAGGTTATACAGCCAGAGTGGAATTCGCATTGAAATTGGGCTACACAGAAAGATTAGTCCAGGCAGCATTGCACAAATTGGGTCCGGATCCGGGTCAAAATGAATTGTTGGCGGAATTAATAAAACTCGGGGCGACGTGCTCGTCGAAATTAGCAGACAGTCCTGATGAGGCAGACGCTTTAATGGAGTCGACGGATTTATCGGGTGATGATTGTGGACATCCAACGGGTAATTTAACCGGTAGTTCCGCTTTCCGACCAGTTGTCATCGATGGGAGTAATGTGGCAATGAGCCATGGCAACAAGGAGATTTTCTCCTGCAGGGGCATTAAGATATGTGTCGATTGGTTCCGTGCTAGGGGACATCGTGAAATTACCGTTTTTGTTCCAAAATGGAGAAAGGAAGCATCGCGACCTGATAATCCAATCACTGAACAAGAAATCCTCGGCGAACTGGAGAGGGATCGTCTTCTAGTTTTCACTCCGTCCAGGTAAATCATCATCACTCAATCATCATCTCCACTTTCCAAATTTTCTCTCACTATACCTTTAAGTCTATCTTCTATCTTCCACCTTCCATCTCACTTATCATCTCTTTTACTCCACTACTTTAGTTAATTAGAGTTTTCGAATTTTGTGTTCTACTTGCACATTTACCGGAATTTCGTTTTTTAAAGATTGGTGGGTGGCAAGCGAATGGTTTGCTATGACGATCGGTACATATTACGATTGGCGGCTGAACTAGATGGAATTGTAGTCAGCAACGACAACTATCGGGACTTAGCGCAGGAGAGTCCGGAATTTCGGAAAGTAATTGAGGAAAGAATTCTGATGTACAGCTTTGTCAATGATCGCTTTATGCCACCTGATGATCCACTAGGAAGGAGTGGACCAACTCTGGACAATTTCTTAAGAGTCGGAGCCAGAAGAACTGATCCTGCGCCGCCTTGTCCTTATGCCAAAGTAAGAATTCTTCTCGATTTATTAAGGTATTAGCTCAGATTCTAAAAAAAAACCCTTGCAAAAACTGCAATGCAGAAATTGACGTTTAATTTTGGTTCAAAGTGTCATCAATTTTATTAAGGTATTAGCTCAGATTCTAAAAAAAACACCTTGCAAAAACTGCAACGTTGATATAGACGTTTAGTTCTGTCTCCCATTGGGTCAAAACTGTCATCAATTTTATTAATGTATAAGCTCAAATTCTAAAAAAAAACCTTGCAATAACTGCAATGTTGAAATTGACGTTTAGTTCTGGTTCAAAACTGTCATCAATTTAATTAAGGAATTAGCTCAGATTCTAAAAAAAACACTTAGCAATAACTGCAACGTTGAAATCGACGTTTAGTTTTGGTTCAAAACTGTCATCAATTTTATTAAGGTTGCTCATTTGGACTGTGAAGCCAAAAAGTCAGCAGCCAATCGAAAGTCTCCTACAGACCAAAAAGTCTCTCAGTGTATAAAACGTAGTTTAATTGTTACTATTATTGAATTATTTACAGAAATGTACTTACGGAAACAAGTGTAAATTTCGACACCCGGAGCGTGGACCACATCCTCAAAAATCCGTTACGGAGAGACTTGTCGAACACGCACAGCGTCATCTCCAAGCACGTGGACCTAGTCTAAGTCTACCACTTCCAGCGGTGACATCGTCAAGCGTAACAGTGCCACAGCATCAGCCTCTCTGTAAAACGAGATCAGCCATTGTTCAGTCTTCCTCCTCCGTCCCAAAGAGCCGTTCCGTAGAGAATGTCACCAGTGATTTGGCCTATTCGAAAGTTCCCCCTGGACAGACTGTTCAAGGTAATTTAAATATTTAAACAGTCTAAATCTTACTGGACCTTAGGGGGTTACAATTTCTCGAGGATTTTTCGGTATTAAAAACAGGTTTTCTCCGATTTATCCAGGATATCCATCAGCTGTCGGCTGGACACAGAGGGTATCAAACTCCGAGCCTGAACCTGTGAATATGCACAGGAAATTGCAGAGGCAGCTGACCTTGAATCCAGTCTGTGATCCGAGACTCTATCAGCTTCGCAGGTATCATCAGCAGAAGAGTATGCCTAGTGCGGCTTCCTCGCAACAAGCACCTCAACAACCACCTGTGATTAATGCTCCACATCCAGCGCTTCATCGACCTCTCACCAGGCACACGAGCAACGATTCACCATATCCAGTGCCAATCAAGTAACACTTTACTGATAATTTTATACTAATATTCCACTAAGTCTTCATTACATTTGCAACGTCGCAATTAACGTTTAGTTTTTTCTCACAACGGTCAATAAAACTACTAGTAATTTTATTGAGGAATTACACTACCAGTCAAAATTGAAATTGCCGTTAAATAATCCTATGCCCAAGACTTTTTGATAAATAAAATCGGAAATATGAAGTGATAAAGAGGTGTAATTCTCGTATTCTGTAAATTTTCATTGTCCATCTTTGATGGGCTGCAATTTCTAAAAAAATGTTTAGAAAAATTTGAAATTTGTGTACTAAACAAAAGCTTACACTGTCAACTTTAAAATAAGACCAAGAACACTTTAATCTGTTCATTGCTTTTTGAAAGTTATGAATAAATTAACGCTTAGTTTTGTCTCACACTGGTAAAAAACTACCATTAATTTTATTAAGTTATAATAAGATATAAAAAAAACCTTTGCAAAAAATACAACGTTAAAATTGACATGTAGTTTTGGTTCAAAACTGTCATCAATATTGTTAAGGTATTAGCTCAGATTCTAAAAAAAACACCTTGCTGAAAATGCAATGTTGTAATTGACGTTTCGTTTTGTCTCCCACTGGTAAAAAAAACTACCAGTAATTTAATTAAGTTATTAGCTCAGATTATAAAAAACCCCCTTGCAAAAACTGCAACGTTGATATTGACGTTTACCTTCGTCTAACATTGGTACAAAACTGATAGTAACTTTATTGAGGCATTAGCTCAACTTTTAAAAAAGCACCTTTTTAATTTCTTATTTTATATAAAAAACTTGAATTAAATTTTAAATTCTGTTTAGTAAAAGCTTAAAGAATTTAATTTTTGAAAATTTTAGACAATTAAAAGTTGCATTTGAATAAAAATTACTATTCTGTGTCAATAAGAATCGATTTAGGTAACATAACCTAAAATTAGAAAATATTTCTTAATAACCAAAAATTGTAATTTTTATTTAAAGGCAACTTTTAATTGTTTAAATTGTTGAGAATTATAACCTTTGCGTTTCTACTGAAACAAATTAATAATTGGAACCTATCTTTTTCTTTTAAAAAAATTCGAAATTTCGTTGGCTTAGTGGAAAAATGTACTATTTCAAGAATTCTTTATAAACATTACCAATTCAAAAGTTTGTTATAAAATATACCATTTCGATGAAGATCTATAACAGTGTTGAACTAAAGAATTTCTAATTTTTAATTCAATTACTATTTATTTTACTATTATTATATATTTAATTCAATAGAAATTTTTAATAAATACATTAAGGAAGAATCCGAAAAACATTAGGAACAAAAGTTAGTCCAATGTCATAATTTTGTATTTTAAAAGAGATGGTGACATTAAATTTTAAATCCCTTTTGAAAGAAGCGTAAGGAATTTAATTTTCTACATTTTGAACAATTTAAGGTTATATTTGAATAAAAATTATAATTTTTTTGTCAATAATAAAAGATTTAAGTAACAGAACCTAAAATTTAACAAATGTTTCTTATTGACAGAAAATTGTAATTTTTGTTCAAATGCAACTTTCAATCGTTTTAAATGTTCAAAATTAAATTCTTCACATTTCCGACAAAAATGAGTTTAAAATTTAATTTGTCTTTTTCTTTTAAATTACGAAAATATGACACTGGACTAACTTTTGTTTTGACTGTACGTCAGATTCGTCCTTAATAAAATAGGCGAGAGGACCAAAAAAACAAATTTTCATTAATTACGCTAAAAATAATTAAAATATATTACTTACACTTTGGGAGTCTTTTACAAATTTAGTTTAAAATTTATATCATTTACATGCAAATTTAATAAGTTCATTAAAAAATTATATTGCACATTTTATAAATGGTATGCAAAATATTAACATATTTATTATTGAACGTTGATAAAAAGCTGTACAAAAAATGACGTAAAAAAGTGAGGTTAGAATGTTAGATTTACTCATCGAAAACAAATATTTCGCATTATTTGACGATATTTACTGACAAATTATTTAAATAATTACATCTTTGACACTCAAATTATCATTGTTTTCATTTTCGCAGTTGAGTAAAGCACGGAATTATAAACCAATTAATTTTTTTAATCTCCTAAGTTCGTAACTAATGTGCTAATGTGAAACAAACTCGCCACGAACTAATAAACACTATGATAGAAATATCACAGTTTTCAAAGTAGTTGTACAAACCGAAAGGGCACGCAGAATATTAGGCTATTTTCAGTTGTGACGTCAGAGTCGATTTCAGGTGTGACGTCAGATAGCTGGAGGGAAAACAAACAGACAACGCAATGCAATTCTTATGGGAGAAAAAAATTTTGCATTTTCTTTTCAATGTTTTGCAAATTTAATGGATTTTAAACACTTTCTATCAACATATATGTAATTGAAACGAATTCTGTAAAATAATTGTAGTGAAATTAACACTTTACACTTCACAGGAACTTAAAAATATTCTAAAATGTATGTTTTTGAGGTTAGGAACGTTTGTTTACAACTATTTTATACATAGAGATAATAGTGGTAAACAGACGTTCCTAACTTTAAAAACATACATTTTAGCATATTTTCAAGTTCCTGTGAAGTGTAAAGTGTTAATGTCACTACAATTATTTTACAGAATTCGTTTCAATTACATATATATGTAGATAGAAAGTGTTTAAAATCCATTAAATTTGCAAAACATTGAAAAGAAAATGCCAAATTTGTTTCTCCCATAAGAATTGCATTGTGTCGTCTGCTTGTTTTCCTTCCAACTATCTGACGTCATACTCGAACTCGAAATATCTCGATGTAGTGAAACAGCCTATTACACTACTATTTATAGTATATAATAAAATATTAAAAACCTAAAAATACTAACCTGAAAATTTTCACTAAAATTCCAGTTGGGACCATCAGGAACATCATCACCATCTTCATCAGCATGTGACGCGAATAGCCTCAGCGCCAGACTCATATCGTGCATGGCCACCGTGCGGCAGCTTAGCAGCACCATCGCCTCAAGTGCCACGGTTGGGCGCCTCTGATCCGCAATTGAATCTCCTGCCGTCCGCTTCGCCATGGGGCGCGACACAAACACAAGACGCACGTCGTCGTTTACATTATCATTTGGCGAGCATATTCCCCGAGGAACAAGTGCAAGCCGCAATGGCATTACATCCACATGAAACTGACGCACAACAAATTTGCGCCGCCATTCTCGCCATGTTCCCAAAATCATAGAAGTAACTATTCCCCATCTTCTCTTTCTCACTCTATCTCTCCTTCCTCTCGTGTTTGATGTTTGCTACTTACAAGGAAAAAAAACCTCTTCGGAGAAAATAGAATCCAAATGTCTCCCCTGGAGATTTCCCAATAATAATAATAATAATATTGAAAAACAAACTTTTTTTACTTCATTAATGGAGTAAAAGCACAAATTGAAAATCGTAAAACGTAAATTGTGTAGAAAAGGATAGAAATATCTTTTTTTTCCTTTTCTATCTCAAGTATGAGTTTACGATTGGGCACGATAATCTTTATCGATATATCGCAGCGTCGATTTATTTCGATATATCGAAATGTATAATCAATGTACATTCGACACCGCAGTCGAATTTTGATACATCAAAGTCTCGATAACTTTTATGAATTACATTGGACGCGACTCTCTACGAATTCTATTGATGGAAGAAGTGTCAGGACGATAGAAAGAGACAGCTGATGTTCCTAACGTCCCCTCTTCTTTTTCTTTCTAAAGACTTATGCGTATGAATATTCGCATATAATTTGGTTTGAAAATGAAAAAATTACGAATTTTGTCGAATTTGCAAAAAAAAAATTCGAAAAAATCAACAAATTTCACGATTTTTAAATTTTTTATAAAAAAAATGTAAAAAAGACGATTTTTAACACTTAAAAATTTACAAAAAAGTTCAGAAACTTATTTTTTGCGTATAATTTAGTTTAAAAAATCAAAAAATTTCGTGAATTTAGTCGAAATTTAAGATTTTGAAATATTCTGCAGAAATAAAAACGAAAAAATCGACAAATTTTAATTTTTCAGAAATTTTTTAAATCCATCAAAAACTGAATTTTCGCTTATAAATTTGTTTAAAAATGAAAATAAAAAAGGAATTTAGTCAAAATTAAATATTTAGGAAATTTTCTGCAAATAAAATTCGATAAAATCGACGAATTTCACGATTTTGAAATTTTCTATAGGAAAAAAAAACGATGAATAATTTCACGATTTTTAAAAATTTACAAAATCATTTAAAAACTTATTTTTCGCCTATAATTTAGTTGCAAAATGAAAAAATTTCATGAATTTAGTCGAAATTCAAGATTTTCAGATTTTCTGTGTAGAAAACAAAAAAATTGACGAATTTTAATTTTTTGAAAAATTTTCAATATCGTTCAGAAACTGAATTTTTGCATATAATTTTGTTTGAAAAAAATTACAAATTTAGTCGAAATTTAAAATTTAGAAATAATTTTCTGCAAAAAAAAATTCGAAAAAGTTGACGAATTTCATGATTTTGAAATTTTTTGTAGAAAAAAAAACGATTTTTAAATTTTGAAAAATTTACAAAATCGTTCAAAAACTTATTTTTGCGGATAATTTATATGGAAAATGAAAAAAAATGTTATGAATTTAGTCAAAAATTCAAGATTTTGAAATTTTCTGTAGAAAAAAAACAAGAAATCGACGATTTTTAATTTTTAAAAAAATTTTCAAAATCGTTCAAAAACTGGATTTTTGCGAATAATTTTGTTTGAAAATAAAAAAAAAAATTACAAATTTAGTCGAAATTTAAAAATGCGAAAATTTTGTGCAAACAAAAAAAAATCAACCAATTTTGGTTCAAGAATTTCAAGAATTTGGAATTTTCTGTAGAAAAAGAAACAAAAAAATCGACGAATTTTAATTTTTTCAAAAATTTTCAAAATCGTTCAAAAAATGATTTTTTGCTTACAATTTTGTTTGAAAATGAAAAAAATTAGGAATTCAGTCGAAATTTAAGATTTGGAAAAAATTTTCTGCAAAATAAAATCGAGAAAATCGACAAATTTCACGATTTTGAAATTTTTTATAAAAAAAAACAAAAAAACGACGATTTTAAAATTTAAAAAATTTGCAAAATCATTCAAAAACTTATTTTTATATAATTTATTTGGAAAATGAAAAAGTTTCATAAATAAATTTAGTCGAAATTGAAGATTTTCTGTAGAAAAAAAGCAAAAAAAATCTAAGAATTTTAATTTTTGAAAAATTTACAAAATCGTTCAAAAACTGGTTTTTTTGCATATATATTTTAGTTGGAAAATAAAAAAAATTTCATGAATTTAGTCGAAATTCAAGATTTTGAACTTTTCTCTAGATAAGAACAAAAAAATTAACTAATTTTTATTTTTGAAAAATTTTTCAAAATCGTTCAAAAACTGAATTTTTGCGTATAATTTTGTTTGAAAATGAAGAAAAATAACAAATTTAGTCAAAATTTAGGATTTAGAAAATTTTCTGGAAAAAAAAATTTGAAAAATCGACGAATTTCACGATTTTTTGAATATATCTAGAAAAGAAAACGAAAAAAACATACGCTTACATTTTGAGGTTGGGAAGTTCAATATTCCGCAATCGTTTCAAATACCTTGACTCTATTGTTCTGAAGACTTAAAATATTGTTAGAATATAAATTTAAGAAAAATTATTTTGCAGAAAGAAAGTGACAATCCCGGTTTTGCAATAAAATTGCTGAAAATTAAATTAATGCAAAAAAAATACAATCAAAATAAGAAATGAGCATTGACAATGTAAAAAGTGAATAGAAGGGCAAACTCACATTTTCAAATGAATAAACTGTGATCATAAAGGTCTGTACACACTACCAAACGTCGCGTCTGTTTTAACTACAATGCTTCAACGCGCATGCGTCAAGAGACAAAGACAAAAGAGGGGACGTTAACTAAACTATCTGACTCTTTCTAACGACTTGATGCGTACTTTTTTTGGTTATTTATTCGACATTTTACGATATATCGAAATAGGATCGGTACATAAACTTATTTAATATTGATTAAATAGAGAAAAAATCAATATTGCATTAAATATTATTCAAATAAAAAACAAAAACAAATAACTCTCTGTGAGAGTATGAGACATTTTTATATACTAATTTTACTTCTCTTTCAACATTTTTCGAAGAAAAAAACTGTCTTATTTTTTTAAAATTTCATTACTAATTAAAAAATTTTTTATTTCTTTTTGAAAAAGTTGGAATTTTTATTGAGACAAGAAAAAATTATTTTAAAAAGAAAAATAAGAAAGGAAAATTGAGAAAAAAAATAAAAGAAGAATTATTGAATATCAATAAAGATAATTGCAATGATTAATTATAATTATAATTATTGAAAAAAAACGAAAAGAAAAATTATTAAATATTTTTATTTTTAACAAAAATTCTTTCTTGCTCTAAAGTTTAAACATTAGAAGAAAAAGAATTATAATTATTTATTCTAAATAATTATAAGTAAATAGTTACAATTATTAATAATTATAACTAAATAATTATAATTATTTATTCTAAACAAGACTTTCTCATTTTTGATGAGAATGTAATAATTTTAAATAAATATGTAATTACAATTATTAATAATTATAAATACTTAAAATTAAAATTATTAAAAAATTACAAAAAAAAATTTTGAAATATTTTTATTTTTAATTTTTTACAAATCTTTTTTTAAATATCGAAATAATAAAAATAAAATTAATTAATAATTAATTAAAAAAAATTTTATTAATAATTTTGGAAAAATTGACTAGAAATTTTGAAAAATTAATTCGAAAATTGAAAAGTCAATTTGAAAATTGTAATTTTGAGAAGTAAAATTAGAAATGTTAAAATTGAAAGTAATCAATGCACACATATTGATAAATTCATATGATAAACCTTAGGTCAGTGACGAAAAACTCTCGATGATTGTGGACAAACAATAATTTTTATCTTCTACCAAAATAAAAAAAAAATATGAGAAAAAAAAGAATGAAAAAAAAGATGTTCAAACAAAAAAAAAAAGACACACAATAAAGAGATAAACGCGCATTTTAATCGATTTAAAAACGCGCGACGTCTTCCATATGTAAGAAAATATAAATTTCTTTCTCTCTTTTTGTAAATAAAAATGGAATGACGCATATAATTAACTATTATCATCATGAAAGTAAATTAATGTCACTTAAAATAATATTGATTTATAATTTTATTATTGTGACGATTATTTTTCTTTCTGCATGCTATAAATGATCCGCACGTAAAGAAAAAGACAAATTGCATCTTTTTTTTAATGTTTTTTTTTTCATTTGAAAAAAAATGTTAAATTTATATATACATATATATATGTATTTTTTAATTGAAAATAATTTTTTTATTCTAATCTTATTTTTTTAAATAAGCAAAAAAAAAAATGTAATTGAAAATTTCAATTTTGTATTTTTTAAAAAAAAATTTTAATTTTATATTTTTTAAAATTAAATTGAAATTTGAATTTTCAATTTCTTTTCATTTACATTAAAATTTTTGGAATTTAATTTTACGTTTTGTAAAATAAAATAGACTTTTTTCATCTGTAATTTCAATTTTATATTTTGAAAGAAAATTGAATTTTTTTATATGAAATTTCAATTTGAAATTTAAAAATAATTAAATTTTTTATATAAAATTTCAAATTTATATTTTTCAAAATAAAATTGAAATTTTAATGTTTCAATTCTATTTCATTTAAATGATAATTGAAACTGAAAATTGAAATTTGAAAATTACGATTTTATATTTAAAAATTAAAATTCAAGATTTCAAAGTTTCAATTCTGTTTCATTTAAATGATAATTGAAATTGAAATTTGAAAATTGCAATTTTATATTTAAAAATAAAATTCAAGATTTCAAAGTTTCAATTCTGTTTCATTTAAATGATAATTGAAATTGAAATTTGAAAATTGCAATTTTATATTTAAAAATAAAATTCAAGATTTTAAATTTTCAATTATGTTTCATTTAAATGATAATTGAAATTTAAATTTGAAAATTGCAATTTTATATTTAAAAATAAAATCCAAAATTTTAAAGTTTCAATTCTGTTTCATGTAAATTGAAATTAATGTTGGAAATTGTAATTGACATTTAAAAATTTCAATTTCTTTTTATTTAAATTGAAATTACAATTGAAATTTTTTGATTAGAAAATTTTATATTTTTTAAAATGAAATTGAAAGTTTTAAAGTTTCAATTTTGTTTAATTTAAATTGAAATTGATATTTGAATTTTCAATTCTGTTTTATTTATAAATTGAAATTGAAATTTACAAATTTAAATTTTATATTTAAAAAAAAATTGAAACTATTGTTTTAATTTTTCAATTCCGTTTTATTTAAATTGAAAATTGAATTTTAAACTTTCAATTTATTTTAATTTGAATTAAAATTAAAATTTTTTTTTTTTTTTCAAATATAAAATGAAATTGAATTTATTTTATATTTTCTAAATTTTTATGTATTTGATATTCAAAAGAATTGATTTTTTTCTTGACACTCATGAAAAAAAAATATAATTTTCTTTTTATATTATATATAATATTCTATATCGAATATTTTGCGCAATTCCATATCGAGGAGAAAGGATGGCATTATAATAATTAAATTGTCGTAATATTAATTAATAAATTTTGCATTAATTAACATGCTTTCACTCAGCTAACAAATGCTAGCGAAATGCAAGGAAAAAGCATTATTTTGATCTGCTCCACTGATAATTTAATTCACATACTTTTTTTTTTAAAAATTTAATTAATTCTCGATAAAAATTAAAACAGTAAATAAAAAATTATTATTAAA